AACTGCTCGCATTTTCTGACGGCGTGGTTAACTAAATAAAGTTTGGTTGAGTGTTTTGAGCTCTATCAATATCATAATATGTCCTTCTGGGTATCACACTAAGTCTCCCTTGTAGACGCCCTGACTTACTCTTGCCATTAATGCGTTAGAACCGACAAGAACAAAAAACATGAGAATACCTGCCTTCTTAACAATAGCCGATTCGAAGGTTAAATACTTATGTCGTAAGTTAGTGTTGATATTGAGTACGATGCTGCAATGGTACCTTACAACGGCATCATTAGCACTGAGAAAAAGCGGATGTGATGACTGGGACAAGATTTTTATTCGTCCGACGTTTCTAAATCCGCCGCGGATTTATCAGCAGAGACAGTAACAGAAGCAGGCCCCATTGCTGTTGTCTCAGATGCTGGATCCGCGATGGGTTTCGAACCGTCAGGCGAATAAAAGTCTTGTCCCAGCGATCACATCCGCTTCTTCTCAATTACTTCCTGGGACTCACATGTTCGCCCTGCTTTCTGCCTGTAAGGGACTTGCATGTGTATAACTTGCATGCTATTAGCAAATGTTAGCCTGTCTCCTGTGGAAAAACGTAAAGAAGGATGAGAAATTAAAGTCGGCGGTGCCCAATCCGTAAACATTAAATGAACGCGAGTTGCAACTACCAGATGGTTTAAGTCCTTGTTAAGTACGGCGGATGAGCCCATGCGTAGCATTCCTTCAATCTATGCAGCAAGCATGTTAAGCTTTTCCTCTTATATTGATTGATTCCCCATACTCGCCAAACAGGTCTTTCGCGGATTTTTTGTTACCGCTGCTAAGGCTTCACCCCATCACTAAGTCCTTCCGCTTTCTTTATGTGCCTGTTGGTACATACTCCATTTTCTGATCTTCACCTCTTCTGATTTTCTCAAAAAATGTCTGTGTGAACGATGGGTAAATTCTTCGGTACAATCCTTTTCAGTTTTGATCCCCAAGTTGATGGCGTATTTGAGTCGGAATCCGTCCACTTCAGCGAACTAACGGCTTAGTTGATAGGACATTGTAAGTAGCATTAAAGTTCCTCATACTGCTTACACGGCTAATACCTAAAAACCCGGACGCGCGTGTTTTAAGGAGGCCTGTTCCAAAGCAGTTGCCCCCCCACTCCCCCCAGTTCACACATCCATTTAGAGCGGAATTAAAAAACTTGACCTTTTCGTATAATTTTTTAGAGGAGAGACATGATTTTTATGCATCTGTTTTTTGATACCCACAGGTGCGTACAGAAGAGCCACCATCAAGGGTCCTACATCTACGTGGTTTACCAGCCGATCTTTCGGAAAAGGAAGTGGCCCAATTCGGAGTACCTTTTGGCCTCCTCCAGAGTATGCTTCTGACTAAAAACGGCAATGTAAGTTGCCATAACCCCACAACTCATATTTTTTTCGCGCATACACCACTTTCCCTTTCTCTGCTCTTTCTGTCGCCCGTTTTGCCTTTGTCTACTTTTCCAGAGGCATAAATAGGACGGTTAGCATACGAACCCTTTCCCTTGAGGTGTGCGTTTGCTAGTGTAGGGGAACCTGCGTCTTGGGCGTGTCTTCTAGACTTGGTCCAGTTAACTCTTGAATTGTCGTCCTACCTTTTCGCAGAGCCAAGTAACATCCGTTAGCGCCGAAGGTGCTTACTGTCATTTTCTTTATTTAATGATAAATAATTACGTTGACTTAAAGCAAACCTTACTGAATGAAGCTTTTGGGGTTCAGTCCAAAAGTTGATATAAGTAAGAGGCGGCAGAAAATTTGCTTTGTTGTCAGTAGGGGACCTCATACTTACCTTCCGTATTATGAATAACCTGGATTGTTGCTTTGTTCTTGATGAT